CTAATTGCTCCTTGATCTCCTCCCAACATTCGCAACCGCTTCCGCGGTTGCGAATGTTGCCAACAAAAATGCCTTTTTTTTTAGAACGCGTTTTGGGAAGAGTTTAAAATCCAATTTCTCGCGTGGAGGATGATGAAAAATTAGGATATTGCGCGGAGGGTGTTCCTAAACACAGTTAAAATAAGATTTATTTGTTTTCTCGAAGACAAAAGTTTACCGGACAATCCCGTTAAAAAAAAAAACTTGAAAAGAAAAAAAAAATTTTTTTTTAACGGTTTGGTTGAGACACGCGTGTAAAAAAATTAATTTTACGCGAAGAAAACGATTTTACAGCACTATTGACGGCGCGAGACTCACCTCCTTTCTCACTTGCCTTCTCTCTCGGCATTTCGGGCGCGTGGAGAAGAAGTGGATCGGCTTCTCCTCCACGTTGAGGTGGAAAGAGCGAAACACCATCTCGTTCAGGTCGAAAGAGCGAATGACCATTCCATGACGTCATGGACTTCGCGCTCAGAATTTCAGATAAAGGCCCGTTCACACTCTTGCGACCTCTTAAACCTGGGTTCCTTAAAGGGATACTTCAACGAAATTTGAAATATTCCCGTCGTGTTCAAAAATAAGTTGAATGTGATCCACAATATCCGTAATTGACTATCGCACGTTTGTGTGTTGAGCCTGGTGGCTGTACCTTTGGTTATAAACGGCCCACTCTGGCAAGCGCTCCGAGAAGGCCCAGCGGAGACCATCTGACATCCAACGCAATCGTGACGTAGGTCGTCTCAACACGAGCAAAGCTACGGCGAGGCTGCCGTCGAGAGGATGGCCTAGTCGTTCCAGCCACCGAAGCGGCTGCTTTTGTACAAATTTTGAGTGACGGTTTAATCTTCTATAATCTTGTAGGGGGACAATAGCGACTTCTGTGACACACAAAAGGCATTCTCGGGAAGAGGGGAGTTCCTCCTGCCCCTCTTCTCTCGTCGTGGCCGGAGGCGAGACAACCTCCGTCACTAGCTGCCAAGGTTGCTAGACGGGCATTACAAACGAGGCGTTAGCGACATCCACCAGGTGCTCTTTGCTAATCGTTTAATTCGTTTTAAAATTCCTTTTCGTGACTTTTTTAACAAGATATTGGTATGTTCGATTTGATGGTGCTTTTTTGAACACATATAGACCAAAAAATGAGCGCCGAAATTTCGTTGTAGTGTCCCTTTAAAACTTCTTAAACCAGAGAACACACTGGCGCCATCTATTGGGAAGCAGTGTAAACTCGGCGGTCCGGCATTCTTTTTTTTTTTTTTTTTTTTGCGCATTATTCTTTTTTTTTTTTTTTGGCTCGAAAAACTTTTGTCGATGTTATAAACGAGCCTTTGTATGGGTATTACGCACATTTGACCTCGGAAATCCCGCAAAACCTTCGCTCTTGTGAAATGCAGTTCCAGGGTCACCGCATAGATGGCGCCACAATGCCAGTGTGTTCCCTCATTCTAAAAACATTTAAGAAGTTTTAAGAGATCTCGTCTCTCTCAGTCGTACTCGGTCGCAAGAGTGTGAACGGGCCTTAAAGGGGCCCTGCAATCATATTTAAGCGTCTACCTTTTTTGCGGTTTCCACGTCTCTTGGGGTCCGGGCAGGCCAGCGGGCACGGAGAGAGCAACTAAATATCAGTGCGTCATATTTTAACCGGATGACGCGGAAACCTCCTCCACCGACGAGGGCGACCCGCGGTACCGAAAGCGCGCAAAATGGGACGTGTTTGGTCCTAGGCTTACTACTGGTTAGAGCCGCTAAAAGCTTTTTCGTAGTCGAAATACAAAATATAACTGGCGCGACCCGTTTCAATTATTTATAAAAGAAGTTTTTGTTCAGTATTTTAGATCAGAAAAGAAACAAATGCAGTTTATAAAGTACGGAAACAAGAAAAGACCCGTCGACATACTCGCCACCAAGCGGCGGAAAAAACGGCGCATACTAGAAATAACTAGTGGGATGAGGCTACGACAAACGGCCAGCGTAGAAAAGCCCCGGATGTACGCGGCGGCGCTGCGGTCGTACACCGGCTCAACGATCCGACCGGTTCCAAGCGTCCCGAAGGCCTTCGGCGCGGGCCCTGCTGGCGATTTGGCCATTTGGCGGCATAGCAGCGCGAAGTGGCTCCCGTTCTGAACTGATCTTTACCCCGTGTTTGCTGTCGTTTGTGGCCAATGAAGTATTATGCCGAAATAGTCTTTAATCGCGCAGCAAATGCAATGCCGAGCCGCCCCGGCCGCCCGCTTCATAGAGCCTATCCAACATATGCTTTAGTGGCGCCCTCTCGAGCCGTTGACCCGGAGTGCGGCAAACGTGAACGCTCGATGAGCTCACTACCCCTCCTCTAGTTCATGGCCACTCAAGCCAGGACCTACGACGTCATGAAGGAGGTTATTTTTTGCTTGTTTTTGTAATTCTAATTCGCCTATAACTTTTAAAATAATGCGAAATTTGAGAAAAGAAAAGTTTTATTAAGTTACTACGTTCAGCGCGCTCAGGTTCGGTGCAAAATAAAAAATTTATTCTTTGACACGCGTGTCCCAACCAAACTGTTAAAAAAATTCTTTTCAGGGGCCCTTTAACTTATAACGCTCCGATTTTGTGCAGCGTTGCTCACGGGTGGTGCATTTTTTCTATAAAATTTGCCAAGAGCTAACTTACCCAAGGAAAAAGTAAAAAAAAAAAATTCTCAACTCTTATCGAAATTTAGCGAACCCAACGGTCTTCAAACAACAGGTCTGAAGACCGGTGGCTTCGCTGCGTTTCATTGGGAGTTGAGCCTTTTTTTTTTCTTTTTTTTCGGGCAAGTTTACTCTTTGCAAATTTTATAGAAAAAAGGCACCACCTGTGGGCAACGCTGCACCAAATCTTAGCGCGATAGGTTAAGAAACCAATTTTTGCGGTCGATTTAAAGAGCCTGGCCGCTATTTGAAACAACCTGTAGTTACAGATATGTATCCCGTCAATATAGATAGTGATGCTCAGGTTCTCATAGTTATTACTTGGAGTGTGACAACGATGGGAAAAATATCCTGTTATTTTTAAGTCGAATAAATCTGATCTTTTCATTACAAGATGTATTTTTAAACATGGTGGATTAGTTGTCTAATCTGTCTGATCACTGAAAATACTGCGGAAGAAATAATTACTGTAAATTTCAGGTAGTTTAACATTTTATTGATGTAAACCCACCATATTAAAGCAAAAACGGGGGTTCTTCTTTTTTTTTTTTTTGGTAGGTTGAAAAGCTCAATTTGCTTTCTCTTTCACATTCCGACTTTCTTTACGCAAGTGATGAATAAAATGAAAGGTATAAATAAGTTCAATGCTCTAATGGCTCAGAATAGCATCTACGTTTGCTCGTGTTCAGCCCGATTTAAACATCTTCCATGAAGATTACTTAATTTAAATACAAACAAATGCACGTAGGAAGAATTAAATGATACATAAATGGTAAATAAAAATATTTCCGGGGTATATTTTTGCGTGAAAGGTTGGATTTAAATGATGATTTAAATTGTTTCGACTTCTATCCTCCAACCTGGGAGCGATGCAGATTCAGTTTAGACAAGTAACCATTGGTAAATCGCAGAATGCAGCCAGTGATCTTTCCGGGGTGCTTATGCGGAGCGCAAGTCGTCTGCTTCTTGCACAGGGGTTTCGATAACGCCAGAACGCAAAGCTCTTATTGGCCGATTAGAAAAGATAGTGGGTAGAACTAAAGGCACCAAGCATTGAGGTCTACCCGCTATCCTTTCAATCAAAGCCGATCAGAACTTGACGCCATTCTGTCATCACCACAACTCCCGCGCAAGAACCAGACGACTTGCTTTATGCATAAAAAATTGGTGTTTTCGAGCTGCCTCTTGTCTAATGGTGATTCGTCCGAGGTCTCGACCAGGCCTTTTGCCACGGTTAACTCTGCCACCACTGCAGTTTCTGTAGTACGTAATCTTCGACTTCCTTCCCAGTCATCATCCAACTATAGTCACTGACAGAGTAAGAACGGCAGGGCGTGTCTTTCAAACGCCCGGTCCCTAGGACGAGCTCCATGCATTCTTGCCACACTTTGACTGCGTGCGTGCGTTCAAGGTGCACGAGACGTTGAAGCGTTGCCAAAGGTAGAAAGCTCATGCTGGAGGCGGGACTACCGATGCTTCTCAATGCTGTTCTCATTTCATCAGTGGCTGTAGCATGGACATTGCACCTGCCACATTGCAACATCCAAACAATGCCAAGAAGGCATACTTGGAATGCAAGAAAAGACCGAGGGCATGCAAAGGTAGCTTCGCATGTTTGCACACGTGTCACTAGGGCATTTAAAACGCCTTTAGATCAAAAGCAGTTAAGAAGTTGCTGAATCGGCTCACCACCCCAACCTTTTGTATTCCACGTGACAGGCACCAATTTGTTGGTTCTTCCCAAGAGAACTGCATACAGCAATTAATGGTTGTTCACAGAGGCAGTGTGCACTGTGCGGCACTGTTCACCGTAAAGAGTTAAAATGTTGAATTTCCGTGTTGTAGGTGCTCCCCAAGCCTTGAGGACCTCTTTGGTATCGGACTATAATGGTCTTCAACATTTCAGAACTCTGCCTGTTCTGCAGTTATCGAGTTGGACAAGAAAAAAGAGACGGATCACATTACCAAAGTATAGCAACAGATATTGAACTGTAGGAATCCTCACACCTAGACAGAAAAGCGACATTTCTTCTCAAAATGGCAAGTGGCGAGCATAGACACATTATGGAAATACAACATGCACACTGCTCTAGTGGGAAGCTGTCAAGTGGGTTACGGTATTAGACCTGAATCCGTCAAAAAATTAAGTCGGGCGTTCTAATCAGTGCCAACAAGGCTTTACAGTGGCGTCATAAAGTGAACTGCAAGACCCAGCCGAGACAAAGCTCGAACTACAACTCTGGGGTCTCAAAACTGCTTGATGCTATGGTAAAAAATAAAGTGTCCCTTTGCTCCCTGCCGAAACGTGGAAAGCCCATTTATTACATTTTGTTGCGACCGCCCGTCGATCCCAGACGCTGAGGGTCCTGCGACGGGTAGTGAACACGCAGTGGCATGCCGAGCGGGGGTACCGTCCCCGGTGGCGCCGTCCCCAGGGCCGCCAGGCTGGGGGGCACCGTGCCAGGGGGGGCCATTCCCGGCGGCAACATTCCTGGCGGGGGCGGCAGCCCGGGGGGCAGCGTCGTGCCGGGTGGAGGAGGGCCGGGCGGGAGCGTCCCAGGCGGGGCCATGGGTGCCATGAAGGTAGGCGGCGGGTGCGGCAGGCACGCCAGGTTGAAGTAGTTGTTGGCCAGTTCTTCCGGCGGCATGGGCAGCGGCGCCGGCAGTCCTGGCACGGGCTCGAGGGGCCTCGATTGCGACGGCGTCGGTGCGATCGCGGGCTCGCTCCGGGCGAGCGCCCGCCCCCACTTGATGACCAGGCGCCGGCCGGCCAGAATGAGCTTGTTGAAGGTTTTGTCGGCGGCCAGCTCGGCGCTCGTGCGGCTGGTGAACTGCACGAAGGCGCACTGATGCCGCGCGAGCATGGTGATCTGCCGGATCTCGCCGTACTGGTAGAAGTGATCGCGGAGGTCTTTCTCGGTCAGCCGCTCACCCAGGTTGCCCACGTAGAGTGTGGTGATGGAGCCATCCTCGGGCGGCTCGAGCCGGGGCATGGCCGCGGCGCGACGCAGCAACTTGTCGGCCACGGGATCGTTGACGCCGTAGTAGCGGTCGCGGATGTTCTGGTCGGCCAGCGGATCGTCGGGATCCGTCGGCTTCTCGTGGCGGTATGGGCATTCTTCACCACGCTTACACTCGCCTTTCACCCAGAAGCTGCAGATGTGCGGTCGGTTCCGCTTGTAGTAGGGCGTCGTGCGCGCTAGCTTCATGAGCAGGTCGCTTGGGCTCTGCGCCTTGGCGAGGGCTCCGTACGGCTGGCCGGCGTCGCCCTCGGCCACGGCGCGCTCCACGTTCTGCGAGTAGTACTCCTTGTTCACGTCCGACTTGGGCATCTCGTCCTTGATGCTGAGCGCGTTGTCGCGCACCTGCACGGGCAGTCCGTAGTCGAGGTCCAGCAGGCATGTCTGACACACGTTCTTGAGCTTACTGCAGGTTTGGCAGACTTCGGTCTTCTTGAAGCGCATCCTGCCACCGGGGCACCACCGAAACACGGTGAACGGCCGCGAGCAGATCTTGCACTCTTTGCCATAGTGCTCCTTGGTCATCCGCACGTACGGGTTGTCGCCAAGACATGTTTGGCACAAGATCGGGAACTCGGCTTCTTCCCAATTTAGTCGGTTGTACGTGTTCGCGCTTTTCGAGGTCGCCATTTTGCGAGCTTGGGGAACGCCGCATGGCGTATTCGTTTGCTAGGCGATATGGTCAAGCGTTTATATTACGTCACGCGTGTTACTCTCAGCGCTTGGCTGAATTTGCAGGGATTGAATAAACAAACGTAAATGACGACACACATACACAAAGTGTATTGGTCGTTTTGTAAAATAAATTTACTTGTAATAACTACATTGTTTCATTTAATATAAAAATTAAAATTGTTTGCATGGTAAATATAAAAAATGTAAACTTTACTGTTCTCTAAATTGTTGTGTTTTTCCTTCTGGATTGTTTTGGATTTACAGCTCAGGACCGGTCGCCATCCAATGCAATCCATTCTGTCCTGCATTCATTCTGAGAAGTCTGCGTATTTGTGAGGTATGTTACCGTAATGTTTTCATCATTTCACACACTTCGTGTTGTCCAACACAGCCGCTTCTCAGCTGACCTTTCTTGGTTAACAGTAGTGTACTACTGCTGCCCCGAGTATGTTCGAGCATGTTGTTCTTTCAGAGGTTGATTCAAAGGCCGTTAACGATAGCACAAAAAAACCTCGTGGCGGATCGCCATTCATTTGGCCTACGTGTTCGTGATTGCTTCGATTCTCCACGTTACCTTAGTGACCTTTAGTTATTTAGCTAATGCATTAGCTCTCGATTGTTTGAGACGGGTGTATCTTTGCGTGGGACAGTTACCGTAGCCGTTGCGTGGACGAGCTCACGGAAAAATGACATAACTGGTTTTCGCGCCGTAGACGAACATGATTTCGTCTAGGCTTCATGCTATCCGACAAAATGGGCACTCGTTAGCTTGGACTCGACACATGCGCTACAGAAAACTTAGTCGGAGTGTTGCTACGTGGACAAATTTCTTTGTCCGTCAACACCTTCAAAGGTTGCGAACTCATTTTCGTCACAGGCAGTGGTGACTGTTTGGTTACAACCATGATAATTCGGCGTCTGCTGTTTCCTGGAAACTCGGGCGATTTGTGCCGAAGGCGGTTACTTCTGCGCGGCGGAACGATGTATCGGCCGCTCCTTCGCTAGACGCCTGCTTTGCTAAATGATCTCAAAACAAAGAAAAAGGCGATGAACACGCAGGCATGGTGGTGTGCAACTTGCATAAATAACCCGAGAGTAGAACAAACTAAAACAAAAAAAAAAACTGACAAGTACACACAACGCTTCAGTTGCTCAGGGGTGGGTTGTAGCGGGAGCTGTGGTCTCTCTGCAGCATGTAAACTAACGCTTGAAGGCACTTAAGACGACCCGCAAAAATCGGTTTCTCAACGTATCACGCTGCAATTTACTACAGAGGTGCAAGCAGGTGGTGGAAGTTTACAGTGAAAAAAAGATTAATGACTGAATTTATCTCGTCCAAAAGAAGAAAAAAACAACTGCCCTGGAAAATGTAGTACGTTGCCACTTCGCAGACAATGCACACGGAGAGAGAAGTGCTGCCGACAGATTGTGTACGCCATGCTGGCCGATTCAGGTTGATAGCAGACGATCTCGCAGAGGAACCTGAATCAGCTGGCACTCTCTCGATGCGGAGTACAGCATGTAACGCTTTTAAGGCATTTTAGACGGCCCGCAATGCTTGGTTGGCTTATGTGGAGTCTGCTACAGTTCACTTTTGTTTTTTATGTTTTCTCTTATTCCAACACTGCAGGCTCTTGGCACGGATCTGTGGTCTTTCTGTTGCCACTAGTGTATCTATGGGTGTATGGATAATTATTAGCAATGTCATCATTGTCACTACCGAAAAAGACAAATTGGATTCCTTTCAACACAACAGCCGTTCATTCTAAATCTGAAGGGGGTATAGCCGGCAGCCTAGACTCACGAGGTGCAGAGAGGATCTTGATTTCTTGCAGAGCATTTTTTTCAAGTGCTAGAAAGAGGACTTGGTTGTGTTGCACCTCATGTCGTCTACCAGTCCAAGAAAGCAAAAAATGAGATAATGCCCAAAGTTCTCTTTGAAATTGCGTGCTCACTGTTTTGTTTGGGCTTGAAGTATTTGCTAGATGACACTGAAAGTACAGAATGCCTTGCCGTCTGTTCGCTCTCGTGACGTCTGTGGAAGTTGATATCTTAACAGTCGATGGCTGGAGGGCCGACAGTGTTACGGGCACTAAAATGTTGATTTCCAGCTACCCAGAAGAACATCATAAATTGTAGTGGGGCTGTTCTTTATCCAGTGATTATATATACAAGCTCCATGTTTCTTCTAAATACCGATAAACCCCAAAAATGAAACCCGAGCCAGTTTTATAAAAATTGGATGAAACCGAAAAATTCTAATTGAAGCTGTACATGAATAAGAAAATATCAAACTCCACAGTCTGAAAATTTCTATCTGCAGATTTATTTTGTGCTAACCCAAAATACAGCCACCCCCGAACTGCCTGCGAAGCTGCTTTTTTCTTCCTAACCACACCCCTTTTTCCGTGTCCTTTGCTTATCGCTATTGGGTTGTTTTCCAAGTATTCGGGTCATGCGCATGGTCCCTAGAAGTGGGAAAGTCTCACACCTGTGTCACACTTTCTTGAACTTAAGTCCCTATAAACATAATATTTTTTTGTCTGAGGGGTGAGGATGTAGGGAGGCGATGTCGTTAGTTTTGTTTGTCCAATCCCCCAAAGGTCATCCTGGCGATATCCTACACCACCTGGTGATAGTTACCAAAATGCAGAGGGGAAGCAAATTGACGAAGGGCAAGGGGAGAAGTCATACTTTTGGTTTCTAGGTGAGGTGGCGCGAGCTACCGACCGTCATAAATGATAGAGCCATTAGTACCCATCCATCCATCCAAAACCAGAAATTCACACCATAAAACACCGTATTTGCAAAAAAAAATATATATATATATATTTTTGAATTTTACGCAAAATAAACTTTGAAAACATTAAACTCTAGTTACGGATAAAGTGTCGAATTTGTGCACGTGGCAACCGACGGCAGAAGAAAAACAGTAGAAACTCTGTTTTGCGACGCGAGTTGCCATTTACTTTGTCGCAGGGCCAGCCATGGTTTCGATGGGACAGGGCAGCCCCTCCGGTCAGGCCCCCGACGGCCACGAGACTGGGGTCCAGGCACGGGCGTGTCCCGTCAGGGGGGACGCGCTCTCGACTCAGCAGCTCCCAGGAACCCGGTGAGCAAGTCGCCTGCATCGTCGCTCGTTCGTGCGACAGGTCGGGTCTTTGAGTTGGAGCAGGACTATGGTTCCCCAGAAGGTGTCTTCGGCTGGTGCGTTTAGTGCCTCGTCTTGTCCGTGCATCTAAAGCAATCCCCAAGTGGCAACAAACGACATCTCAGGAGCCGCCGTGTCGTGTCGTCGGATGGCACAATCCTGGAGGTCAGTGCTAGAAGTCCCGGCACGAAGCTTGAGCAAACGTGAGTGTAGCCGTCGTCATGGAGTGGCCAGCTGCCGAAGCTTCTGTGGACTGTCGAGCCGGAAAGTGGCCCACAGCGGGGCAGGCGTTTGCCACATCTGCCACTGCTGCCGTGCCGCCGGCAGGGTCGCGGCCAGCAACAGCATGAAGTTTCTGTGACGTGAGCGGGCGGAAATGGAGGGACTGCTTTTTAGAATGCGGTAAACGCATCGGTTGGACACTCGTTTCGGGCACCGTGGGGAGGGCGTTTTGAGTGGATGGGAAAGGAGCGAGCATGCAGTCTCGAGAACAGTGTTCAACTGTGCTAAATAGGATTTTATACGAGGTACATAGAGTTCGGGTTGCACCGATTCCTAACTGTTGACTTCTCCGGGAAAGGGAAATGGAATGGTTGGTAAGTGAAAGTCATTCCTCGTTTCTCTCTTTTTTTTTTCTCAGGTGTGCAGAACGTGCTTCGAGGTCTGTCAAGAGGGCCCTGCCAGATCCTGGTATGTTTACTCTTTCGCAGATATTTGGGCTACGACACATTAGGTAGCAATCGTTTTCTTTTTTTGTGTGCGTTAACTAACGTCATATTATACGGAACATGATTTGCAAGCTGGCCAATACTGGGACACTTTAGTGTTCAGTGCACTTAAAGGGCAACTCTGCTCAACTCTGCTTAATTCCGAAAGTTTGTAGATTATGAGTGATTTCGCTTTGAAAAGCACTAATTAAAGGCACTACGTAATTTGCTTCGTGAAATTACTCTAGACATGAGTAGAAACCGAAACTTCGGCTTCTTCGGGCAAGATTGACCACGGGCTTTTAACAACAGGTGTACCACGTGGTATGAGCAGTTACATGATACTCTATGCAACGACGAGCGGGATTGGGGCCGACCACCGTGGGGGTGGCCGTGTGCAAGGCGCAAGTGTTGTCTGCACCGCAGTCTTCGCCACTTTTTAGTGTCTACAATATCCACCGGCGTCTGCACAACTGCAGCATCAGTCTGCATACATAGTGTGAGCGAAACTCCGAGAGACAAGAATCACAAACGGCAAAACAATGACGGCGGTTATGACACGGGAGACGGCCGGACGGCTCCCAAAGCTGAGAAGTGCATTGCGCAGGTGCGTTGCGCCAATCACGGGGTCACCGCTAAGCGGTGAGAGGAGATGCTGCTGACATCACCTGTTACGCTTGCCCGGAGAAGTAAAAGCAAATGGGAGGTAGCAATGTCGATGACGTTTAGCTCAATGTTGTACTGTAGGCTTGACTGTGCTGTTGATTGCACCTCAATCCGTCCGCTAGTCGGCCGATTTCGACAAACCTGGTGAATTCCAAAGTTTGCCGGACCATTTAAGAAAATTTAGACAGGTCGCCTCGGTGGCTCCGAGGCAAAGCGCGGGCCTACGGATCCCCAGGTGACGGGTTCGAATCCTGACCAAGGTGACCATAATCTGACGGAGGCTTATTGCGGAGAAGGTGCCGTGCAACCAAACTTTCAGTTGCGCGTCAAAAGATCCCCAGGTAGTCGAAACTAATCCTCACTCCTCCGCTGCAGCGTGCCAAATGCTCTTCGTTGGTTTAGCACATAAAACCCCCAAATTTGACTTTTGATTTTAACATTTAGACAGAATTTGATCATAATATTTAATGTGTAGTCTTCCTAGGCAATACTGCATTTTTTTTATTTTTTTTCAAAAGTAAAAATAAGGAAGAGTTCCTTTTTAAGGTGAAATAAGCTGCAGGGAGCACATGGAAGAATTTGTTTCATGGCATACATACGAGAAGCGACGAGGACTCTGTAAAAGCATGTATTATAATGTGATGCTCCTTTCGAACATCCCATATCTTGCTTTTCCATTATGCTGAGTGCAGATGATTTCGAACTGTCGGACACAGCAAAAGCGAAAGCCAATCAGACGAGAGCAGACACGTCACTTGCATCCGCTTGTTCTCCTTGAGACTAAGCTTTTTTTGGCTTCGCATGCCCCTTTAGCCTTCTCCTCATGCAACATCTCGCCTTGCCCCCTCGATCAGACAGCCCCAGAGAACGGCGGGACTCTGCGGCTTCGGCACAGGGCGACTGGGAAAGACTGACCTTGGCCGCCGAAGACCCAAGAGACGACTGTCCCCTGCAGCGCCTCCATTCACTGAAGCACCTCAAGTCTCCCTTTCGCAGAAGCCTCTTCCCTGGTGTGCCACCAACGCTGCACTTCTACACCGAAGATATTGAGGGTGAGCGGGAGGGAAGCGCTTCGTCTGCTTCATTTATGCGCTCATGTTCACTTTTCCAACACCCATCACCTCGGTGAAAAAGGCTGTCGTTTGCTATGTTATGGACGCATGTGAAGCATCTGATATTCTACTGAAGGGAGCTACTGCGCATGTTTAGAAGGCATTCCAGATCCCAGTGGACAAAGATAGCAGTACACAGAAGGCGATTACTGGAATGGTCTGTGCTCTACAACCAAGGCACGAGTAGGTGATAAGGGCTCGACGATTCTCACATGCCGCGTGTGACATCGGAACACCAGTTACATACTTGTGATCCATGTGAATGTACTTTCTTGAAGTACATAGTATGTCACAGTCAACATAAACAAACAGTTGTCAATGCTTTCTGTTTTATTTTTTTTTTTTTTTTTTTTTTTTGTCTGGAAGGTTTTAATTTGTGTTTGGAACTATTAGCTTGGCAAAATGTGCTCATCCTGGGTACAAGCTTAAGAGGGCGCGGTACCTCTATTTATTCGTCCGTTTCAGCCACCAGATGGCGCGCGGCTCGAAACGTGGTTGAACGCGCAACTTCTAGATGGCGCCAGTATCGAGGTGTGAAAAGGCCCGTGTTATCCGCTGCGTGAAATAGATCCCGAAATGTGCCGTGTTCTCCCGGCGGAGGAAGTTTCTCCCTCCCTCGCGCGCGCTTGGTATGTACGCGCGGTGGCCGAGTCCGGCCTCTGCGCTATGTGATGCAGTGGGTGGCGCTCGTTTCCGTTCGGAGGTAGGAATAAAAATGCCGGTCCCCTTTTTTACGACGCTCGTTTCTATAGCTTGTTTTTCTTCTCTTTTTTTTATCTCAAGTGACCTACAGTACCGCCTGTTCGAAATCGTCCTTTGCGGTGAGCGATTGAGAGTCAGGTTAGCATTTTATTTGGGTCAGCACTACACGTTCAGTGGAGACCTCGGGCGGCGATGTAAATATGCATTGCTCCCCAAAGTGTGTCCAAGGTGCGCAATGACAATTGGAAAGGGTATTGAAGGCGCGCGACCGTCGGTTGGTAAAATACGTGCGTTAGATTCACTTATTCAGTCTAATCATTTTTGCCAACGTCTTTTATCTGTTTCGACAAATGACATAGTCGAGTCTATTGATAACCTTAGCTAGATTGGACGTACGGAGTGTCCGGGCTTTAAATAAATTTGCTTCGTTTATGTGAATGAATAACTGTTTTCTCTTTTCCGTGCTCGGTGCTATGCAAAAATCGCTGAGATGTTATGGTAGCTCAGTGTGGCGGCGTTTTGCACGCTGACTCGCTATTGCATTCGCTGTGCACAATATGTGTTCAGATGGAATGTGCCAAATCGTATTTCCGATCGATATGATAGATTTACTTTGCTACAGTGTTAATTATATTTTCCTGATTTAAACTGGTTCGTCCCTGATCTGAGCCTAAGTTCAAATTCGAAGGGCAGACAGACTTAGCGTCGTAACAGCCGTAATGCGCAGAAAGAAATTAGTACCATGAAAGAAAAACAAAAGGATACGAGGTGGCTCAGTGTTATAGAAGTAATGAGTGTGCAAAAAATGCCATCGTACGTGTTTGTTTTTTTTTTTTTTTTAACTCTCCGCATCGCTGGGAAACGCTCAAGGTACCAGCAAAGACAGCGAGCTGGCGTGAAATTTCCATCGAGCGGAAAACGAGTGTCATTTTTATTTCATCATGCGCTTTCATTTTGATATGGCTCAAAATGGGCGCGAAATAGTAACAGGTAAGGCAACAAAATTTAGATGTTAAGTCTGGAGCACCGCCATACCCAGCCGTGTTGGGGGCATCTCTCGCGAGTCAATACGGCAAAGGTATTGCGCGTCGAACTGTACGTGAGAGTTATCCATTTCAGCGAAACCTTGATTTCGCAAAACTATTGTGGCTCGAGTCGTGGCTTCCAGTACTTGGAAGCCACGAGCGAGAAATAAATGACAGTTGATTTTGAAGGACAATCGCGACGTGGAAACCCATAAAAGAGAGTTCCAATAAGACGAGAGCTTCCCCTTCTCTTCAAGTGCGTGGGTTACGCTCTCAATCCTGCACCTGTGGTAACACTGCAGGCTCCTAAAATCGCTTTGAAAACGTTCCTGATCGCAACAACTTTTTTTTTTTTTTGTCGAGGCGGTATTTCATTTTTTTTTTTCTTTTTGTCTACCTTGATACCCCATCAGCACAAAAGCTACCAATAACTAAAAAAAAAAAAAAATAGTGGGCATACAACGACAACGCACCCACTGGGACCCGAGTCAAGGCAAGAACAACTAACTACTAAAAGGGGAAAAAAATCATGTTCGCATACACGGACAGAACGCCTCCATCGAAAGAAATGAATCATGCGCTTGTTCTGCCAGTCTCGTTGTGCGTCTGTCAAAAGCCACAAAGGAGGAAGACAATCAGAGCCTACACCACTCCCCCCCCCCCCCCCACACCACCCCTAAAAAGAAGAAAAAAAAGGTTTCTTGGGCGCGCGCGCGGTCGCCCAAGCGATGACCTTGGGAGGGTATGCGATTGTAGCACGTTTGTCCCCCGGTTGTGCCCCTGTCTCAAATGCCACGGTCCGTTTCTCCCAAGTGCCCGTCTTATCTTCCTGAGTATCAACTCCGCAGTGATTCTGAATCATTCCGATGCTTTCCAACGTTGCAAAACTGTTAGACGAATATTTGCACAGAAGTATACACTGTTCGCAGAACTATCTACGGCGCTAAAATTCAAAAGCGCCGTGTTGGATTCGGGAACTCGTGTAGGTTTAGCTCATTGTTGGAACATTCTTATTCGCTCGATGAACTCCACAAAACGTGTAAATATTAGAATGAACTTCCCAGAGAACGATAGTTGTTGTCGGGGTTCCAGGCGACCGGACAGGTCGCAATTATTGGCTGATTAAAAATTTTATTTCATAATCACAATCGTATCATCAAGGACACGCCATTTCCTCATCACTTCTTCTACGAAAAGAGTTGCTGTATTCGTAGCACACACAGACAGAAACGGTTGAGACTGTGCCCAAATAATATCTTCTTTTGGCAGGTACTGCGCAGCGATTACACACAATACCTCTAACATAAACATGCTGCTCCACATGTCTATTCACAAGATGCAATACATCGTTCTCCCAACTTTGTTGAAATGGCCATGAAAGCGCGTAACCGTCACTTTTTTAAAGTTCTACTTAGAGGTGAAGTGTTTACCGTAAAAAGTCGTTAATTATTTATTTTTTTCCGTTCCACTACAAAGCTCGATTCCCTTAAATTTTTGTTTTTATATCGTCTCTACAGCGCTTTTACGTCGTTACTTTCGTGCATCACATAATGTGCGAAAAAAAAAAAAAAAAAACAGTAGGATCGATGCTGCATAGCTTTTTTTTTTTGTGGACATCAAGAAAAAAAAAAAAGATAGTAGTTGTCTTCACTTCGCAATGCATGTTTTAGCACGGAAGTTCCTATTTGGTTATGATGTCTTTACTTTCTTAAAAATTGTATACAGTAATTTAAATTACCGAATTACAAAAACGTCGAAATTGTATAATTGCTTTTCGTTGGGACGCCATGACGACAGCGGCACTCGTGTTCCCTCGTGGCTTTCGCCAGCCTTTCTACGATGAATTGCCAGGATCGCGAGATGCAACAGCGAGACACTCCGTCTTCTGTGACGTCATTTGTTGCACTTCGGAACCACTTTTGATATATGGCCAGCATAAGACGCTAACCACACCAGTCGGAGACGCGCTGCAGGTGCCATAGTACTGCTCCTAAAAGTAGCTGTCACGTGCTTTGCTCCGCGACTGTGATTCCCTCACAGCAGCCTTGACTGAGGGTTGCCAAATTACGGTGAAACGGAGTATAGACAAAACAAACCGGAAACGAGCTGCCAGCATACGATAGTCAAACTCCAACAAAAAGGATTAGTTTCTTCCCAAGCTGGACGACATTTACCGGGCATCTTTAGAGCTGCGAAGCTCAAAATCACGCGTACTCATAAGATTTTTTTTTCTCGCGTGTTTGTGATTTTTATGATGTCCTGCAAGCAAGAAAAAAATATATATGGTGAAGTCACTCCGAGGGGGCACCGATAACTGCGAGCCACGAACATGAAGGATTCGCTAGCATCCGTCAGGAGTGTAAACGGTAAATCGTCACGCAAACATATTCTCACAAGCTGCAAATATTTATTTGGCTTAGCAAGTAGAATACTAGTATACTAACGACATGTGATTATTGTACACAAGATACCATTTCTCGGTTCTTCAAAACCATTTCCCTAGTCTGAACGGTCGCGCTACGGGCCGCGGCTAGCCGTGCCCTCGATAGACTACGGAGCTGCGTTGTGTCGTCTGCTACTGTACCGCCAACAGGAGAGCGATAGCTCTGTGTGCTCCACAGATGCGTGTTGCGGTATAACTCTGTACGTCTGTCCTAGAGGAAGACAAAAAGATAGGCTCTGTGACCCCCTCCTAAGCTAACAAAAACAAACAGAAGTATGCTCGTTTCGACTGAAAGGTTTACAAAATAGTGACCAGACATTGGAAAAGCATATGTCACAGAACTTGGTTTATGAAATGGCATCATTGTTTCGAGCAAGAAATCACCTGCTCACCACTGGGACGATGAAATCGTCACTATTTATTGCGTCAGGTATATTTGCGCTCATGAAGAAAAATCTGAACACATCCTTCTCCCAAAGTCCTATGTCGAATAATAAACACTTTTTTAAACATCTATGCACAAATAACTCATTTTTTTCTACACTTGTATATACACGGTAATTAAACGACGTCAAACCGCATTTTTGATTAGATCTTGATGTCTACACCAACTACATTCATATTTTTTAGGGCTTTATTGAACGATAACTTCAACTATAGTTAATGGAACACGATGGCTCGATCTCAACAAAAACCTCAACGTGCGAAGCTTCCACAGACGGTCGCTTGCGAGTATTCTCAATGTGAGACTTCAGAAGCTTTCGCTTGCCATATGGAGCTTGCTTTCGACTACAGCACTGCACGGGCCCGGAAAGCGCGGAGCGCGCTGCTGTAGGGAGAGGTTGACTTACAAGATGACGTGTTACGTGGTCACGTAAGATGGCGTCATTTCGTGCAGCGTGATCACGTAAGATGACGTCATTTCGTGTAACGAGATCATGTAAGATGACATGTTTGTGTCACGTGATCACGTAAGATGACGTCAGTTCGTATGAACTGACGTCATCTTACGACAACGCCAACAACATTAGTGCCGTCCGGAACCATTGACCTTAGAAACGCGCCTCTTCGCTTGAAGAGCTGATATGCGTTGATTGTTATTTGTTTCTTTTGCCTACTACAGACCATTCAAAAACTCGCCTTCTGGGTGCCACCAACTTCGTCTACTGGGCTGTGAAGCGCGTTCGAGCGTGCGCAATACCTCTCTAGGCCGAAAGATTGTACACTGAGTATGCGTTCACAGCTCAATGACTTGGGCATTTTTCGTCAGGATAGATGCTCCCACGAGAAGAGCGTAATGGATATGTGAATAGAATTGGAAATTTGAAATGTTCTTGTCCAATCGCATTTTTCTTTGGTTATCAACGCTTTTTAGCATCATCACAAGACGTTCAACCCATAATACACTGGTGATTAAAAAATAAGCACCGAAAAACATGCACCGGTTTTCGCTCAAAAATAAACACCGGAAAAAACATACCGTAATCATTACCCATGTCACCTTTTTGGGTGATATGTGAATTTCCAGAAGAACAGCGAGTTATCACCCTCCCCTAGGAATACCCTGACTACAGAGCAGGCGACCCGTTTTTCCCCGCGTTAGATTGCGGTGACCACGAACCATACGGAGGTCACAGGACGTCCGTGAAAAATAAAAAGGAGGCAAACAACGATCTACTCTGTGCACGCTTCATCCCCGATTTCCACGACCCCAAGGCCGAAGGACGTTTGTGTGAAGGATAACAATAAAATAAAACTTTGCGTCAAAAAAAAAAGCCCGTTTTTAAAAGAAAAAAAAAGTAGAAACAAGCACAACGCGTTGACGGACCGCGAGGTTGTGGAACACCTCGCGGTCCGCTTGCCACAGGACGGTTGTCTTCGACCCATAGCTCCAAGGTGAATTTGCCACTTGCGAAAACACGGAGACCTACCCAGCGAGAACCAGGAAAGCAAGACACGCACACTGACGCCTCGGCGTGCAGAATGAAACAGGATACGGGCGCGGAATACGGCCGCGGAAGAACACCTCGCACAGTGCCGATCCGGCCGATCTCCGAACGGACGATTTCGCATTTCGTGGACAGCGAGCGCCACCGCACGGGAGAGAGAGGTACCTTAAAAACGACGAAAACAAGCACCGACACCTTGGTTCTTTATATTTGCTGTAGTTACGGAACAAATCGACTTACATGAATAATTTGAATATGATTCGATTCCGTAATAAATTTAGAAGACATTAAGCGCAATATTTCTTATGTTTGAATTTAGATAATTTTGTAAATTCGCTCCGAACGCAAGAGTGCCGAATTAGCCGATTTTGACCATTTTCATGATTTTTTAAAGAATATAATTAAATTTATGATGAAACATTTGTTGCGCTTAGTGACTCGATAATGACTCAATGTCTTTAAAGCCGAAATTTTCAAGAAGATCCGCGCAGCCGTTATTATGTGAGAATTTTTTTAATTTGGTGAAAAACCTCATGTATTCTCTATAGGGCTCTGAGGTGCGCCCCCTCTTAAGCGGTAGAATTTGGTGTTTGTCAACATCTCTGAGTTTTGTATGCCTAAACAAAACACCAAAATGTGCTCCTCACAGCAATAGAGCTCATTGTACCTTGTTGACATGCGTTGATGTGTGCGCAGTGCTTCCACTCCCCCCGGCTATTCGAAGGCAGCTCCGCTGGAAGGTGACCAGCATCACCCCTCTGCTGATCCGCCAGACTGTGGTCCGGTCAGGGTTCCGACTCACCAGGAGTGAGTAGAGCTGATCCTAGAATCTGATATGCACGAGATAAGTTTTACATGAAATTAAGTTGGTTCAAATCTGTGTGACTGAAAAACAGTGTTTTAAAGGTATGCTGAACCGAAATTTGGAGCTCGCAAAACAAGGCTGGAGCAATAGGCGAAACGTTGCAAAACCCAAAAACATAATTCATACGGCGGTATTTCTAGTGGATGGCTGTATTTTCCGAAGAGAAGTGTGCGATTGAACACGTCCGACGAGGCCAATGAGACATGCGACGTCACAATTCTCGTTCCCTCTTCGTTTCGTTCCCTTGAGCTGGTGAACCAAAGCGAGGCTGCTTCGCCTCATTCTCAACTGTTTAAAGAGAATCTTGACGTCGCATTCCTTGCTTGATCGCCCCCTTTTTTGCCAAAAAATGTGGCCGTCCGTTTGATATATTGATGTACGAGTGATGTTTTGGGAGTTTGTAGCATCCCGTTCAACACTTCTGCATCCTTATTTTGTTAAATCCATATTTAGACTCAGCATCCCTTTAACTTTAATGCTTGTTTGTATACACCTTTCCAAAAAACACTCGACCCCAGGGGTCCCAAACCGTTTGTGAGCCCAGTCACTGAGTTTGAGGCTAGACTCTCACCGGCGTCCCTCCTAACCCTAACCGAGTGGACTGTGATTTCAATAGGCGCAGCCTGCGTAGGTGCAGTTTCAAACGCCGCTGGCGGCTAAATTCTCGTCTTTTCCCGCTATATTTTGTGTTTCATGGTACATGTATGTTTCCGAGGACATTGAGAAAGCATTGTGCCACATTTAAAAAAAAACAAAAAAGTAAAAAAAAAAATTTTAAACTATTTTTGTTGGGTACACGCGCGACAGAACGAATGCGACTGGAATGAATAGTTCTAGTTATTTGTTTTTTTCTTGCGATAAGTTTTGACGGCACCGCGGGATTCGCCGCATGTGAAACGACAAAGGGCTTTGCTGTCAAAAATAAATTGCAACAGAAGAGGGCCGAAAGGCATGCATTTTTCACGCTCACAAATAACGTGTTTACCAATGGACAGGACACGGGCATACAATTGAGGAAGTGTTAACATTCGTACGTACCACACGATGCAGCGTTATCCGAAACGAATTTATTTGAGAAAGATCTCAAATAACACAGTCACAGTGGACGACAGTCACATCTTGACGATCGGACGGAATCCGGGATGACTTCGTTTTAAGGCACGTCTTGGGGAGAGCTTCCTTTTTTCACAACCGCACCAAGGCAAAGAAACAAACGTGACTGACCCGTTTCTCACCCCAACCCGGACAACTGTTTTTGGAGATGGCTGAGGATTTTACGCGGATTATCTCTGGGAGGGGGGAGAACAATGTTCGCAAAATCGCGTCGAGGGTCGTTCGACGTCCTTCACGTCTTTCGTTTCCCGTGAATGTCGAGCAGAAAAGCTGAATGGCAGGCACTTACCAGCCTTATTTCTCACAATGGAAGATAACACAGAAAGGGTACGCAGCACGCATAAAAAAAAAATTAAGTGGAAACTTTCAAAAGGGGCGAGAAAACGTCGAATGCAAAACCGCAAAAACGTGGGTAGAGAACCGCGCCGAGCGGGTCTTCACAGTCCCAGAGAGTGGCAGAAAATTTCTAGCTGATAGAGGGCGCGAGAGTCGCACCAACCGCATCAGCATCAGCAACATGGCGGCGGCCTAGGAGCGGTTTTTGGAAAGGTGTATAGGTTTCATGGTAAAGTTTAGCCCCCGAATGCTTCAGGTTTGGATCTGCTAGATTGGGTCTTGTTTACAACAACCTTACTTCGTCTTTTCTGCATGTGTATCTCTTTGTATTGTTATCTAGTGTTTTATAAGGACCACCAGTAAAAGCAAAGTGATACAATACAGGTGTATTTATGCTAGGATGTACATACCAACCCTTTGAATAATATTTGCCCCCGTCTCTGGCAAGGAGGCTGTTTTGTGGGATGTTTGTCCCTGTGACTAAGCGGTGCTGCCAAATGTTTTCAGACGGTCCTTATTGGAATGGCACCTGGGGGAAGCACATGAAGTGCTTTACCTTTGCAGAAGTCAAGGGCTTCCAGAAAGTGAGTTATGCAGCTCTCGAGCCTTTCTTGCTATTTGTGGCTTTCAGAAAAGCACACCATGAGGCAACTAATCGTTTCGAATGACTCATTTATAGTCATACAACAACTTCCAAAATATCCAAGCTTAGTAGGTAGTCATTCAGATCATTTCTTTTTTGGGTATATTTCACAGCGAAGCTGTCATGTGCTAGGATCTGGAAAAAAATGTGTCGATGGATGTGAACAAAAAAACTCCCGCTTAAACGGCGCTCCTTTGTTCCGATTGGTCGTGGCAAGTACAAATAATAAGAGGGGCAACCCCCTTGAGTTTGCCTTCCTTGGCAATATTAGATAGTTAGGCCCTGATTCCTTGTTATCATCTACGGTCACCGACTTATCTCAGTTAGGAGTGTGCTGTGACAAGGCTGAAGGCAGAACCTGCCGATCTAACTTCCTTTTCTTTCCCTTTCGTAAAGCTGATAAAGAGACTTGGGCTCATTCGGAAAAAACTATGCTCGAGATGTGCCTTGAAAAATTGGGTTAAGAACTTGCCCATAAGTGACCATAAGGCAATGATCACATTGGTCACTAAGAATTAAATAAAGACAATTAAACAATGAAGTTGCGTACATGTCTTCATTGCAATCATATGTAAATCGTATAAATGTTGTATGGTTGTCGTAAAGTTGCAAAGATAAACAGCTTTGCTGGTCCTCCATCTTCACGTTAAGTGGATGGGCTCCACAATTTTTTTAACGATTTAAAGAAATTGTTAAAACAAAGGAGCTGGTACATGTCTAATATTGTATTGAGTCAAAAACTATAGCATCTTGTTCCTTTTTTTTTCTTTTTGGCAGTTTTTAGTTAGTAATTTTATCTCAAACAAATTTTCTAGTTGAAAGTTTGTGTTCAGCTGTTTGTGTCTTTCTGGACCTTCGAGCTTCGCCGCTCAAACCTTTTTGATGTGGCGAACAAAGGGAATTGGCGACGAGCTACCCAGACTAGGGATTAATTTGCATTGTGGCCACTCCCGTTAGTTGGGGGGGTTTTGGGGAAGTGCCGAAGGGAAAATGGTAAAGCTCTTATGTCGGGATCTGGGGAAGAATCGAAAAGAAAAAGGAAGACCTATTGTTGGGGATCTGGGGAAGAATTGGAGGGAAAACAGGAAGGCTTGTGTGTAGGGATCTGGGGAAGAATCTTAGAGAAAATGGAAGACCTCTTCTGTGGAAAAGAATAGAAAGAAAATCAGAAAGCTCTTGTGCGAGGATCTCGTGATAAATCGAAGGGAAAATGGCAAAGCTTTTATGTAGGGATTCTAGGGAAGAATTGGAGAGAAAACAGGAAAGCTCCATTTGGAAAATGGCTGCAGGTGAACCACTTCCCGGGCAGCTTCCACCTGGGACGTAAGGACAAGCTATGGCAGAACGTGTGCAGGAGAGGAGGAGGTGCCCTACGGGGTCCCTCCATGCCCTTGACCTTCCTGTTGCCCCAGCAGCTGGCAGCGTGCAAGGAGGCCTGGGCGGAGGAGGAGGACCCGCACTGCTGGATACTCAAACCCGTGAGTCTAGCTGTGCACGTTCATTATGCTTCGTGCCAGTGATAGGAAGCTTCTGGAAGGGCCAAGGCCAGTTTCCCTTCAGAGCTATGTCGTGTCAGTGTCCAATCTCTTCCTGCAGCCGGCATCGGCCCGGGGTGCTGGGGTCCATGTGGTCCACAAGTGGTCCCAGGTCCCCAAGAAGCAGCCCCTCATAGTGCAGAGGTGAGTCTCTTCCATTGGCACCTAAGTCTGCCAGTAGAAGTGTTTTGTGCTTTTTGGTGTTTTGGAAATTCCCAATGATGATTGTCAATCTTTATTTACATGGTGCATTCTGGACACAGCTTGTTTTTTGTTTCATACAAACAAAATGGTAAGGAGGGGTTCATAGGCTGTATGTAAGCAGGGCAGGTTATGAAATCTAGATTTATGTTCAACTCGCTCGAGTTACTACTGCTACTCCGTTATTGTTGATAGTATTCATGATACCAGCTTTAATATATCATATTGGCTTCATAATTTAGAAAATAAAATATGAAAGATTGACACCCTGTTTCTCTGATGCATCTTTCCCGGTGAAAATTTCAGGTACATCAGGTCGCCCTACCTCATCAACGGGACGAAGTTTGACCTGCGGTTGTATGCACTGGTGACGAGCTTCGACCCCCTCCGGGTGTACGTTGCCCGTGACGGTCTGGTGCGCTTTGCCTCCATCAGGTGGGTGTGGAGTCTGTACTTCCGGTTCTAGCGGGACACACCTTTATTGCTCGTTTTTTTTAGGCTTTTATTGACACCACGCCGAAGGCCGGGACCGGAGCGGAGAATAAGGGACAAGATAATTTAGGTCCTGATTTAAACCGGACCAGTTTCGCTATGGTGATTTAAATCAAACCTTTCTTGTAAAAACAGCTCCGAAAATAGTTTTCATTTGCCATTTGTCTGTCATATGATGCTTTTTATGTGCATTTGTTGTGCATTTAAATCAAGAAATCATCAAACAAGAAAGATTTGTATTAGTCTGAATGCCAGCAAAAAGCATTGCTCTTGGGAGCAAATCGGAACATTGAGCTTTCATTCTGCCGTACACTTGTTCGTCGGTTACGTAACGTCCTATTGGCGCGCAAAGAAGAATGCGCAAGAAAGAAAAAAAAAAAATTAGTAGGGTTACGTCTTATTGCAAGCAAATTGAAACATGAAAAAAAAGCAAATAAGACTTTTTATCTGACTAGATAAGTCAAGTTGTTTTTGTTCTAGTATGGCTGGGGTTACATCAGTAAAAAGTTGTTAATTAATCTGCGATTAAATTTACAGTAATTCTTTCTTCCGCTTCGTTGTCAGTGATTGGACGGATCGATCAATCAGTCTGCCATGTTTAAAAATACATGGAGTGATGAAGAGTCACAATAAGTTTTACCTAGAGGGATTTAAATAAAATAAACTTAATTTATTTGATTTTCTTTACTCTGGGCAAGACCATACTGTGTTTTGTGAGTCGCAGTAGGTACTAAGGTCACTAGGTACAACCCCTCCCTTCCTGCTGGAGTTACCCCATATGACAGGCCTTTCATCAAATAACCCAAGCATCAAGGAGAATGCTGGGAGCATAGGTACACGTGCTGCAAACCCTATGCTCCCGTGTAAAAGATTAAAAGTAAATAATCAAAATGAGGCATTTGACGAGCACTGGTGCAAAGTGCCTTTGATTTGGGGTTTTGCTTTAGAACAGTTACTGCTGCAGACACCAGCATGTGCTCCACATTTAACTATACTTGCAGCGCACTCTTTGCCGCTTGGGTGTCTAGCAAATGGTTCATTGCTGCATCCTTGAAAGCAGCTTTAGTGTTGGGAAAAAATGGCACAATAATTGGGCCAGTCAATATGTTTATAAATTATTACGACATCAACTATAAAAACAAGAAGATAACACTATTCAGATGCATAATGGAATGAAGTTTGTGTTATCTTCATTTGATTTGAGGGTCTTTTTGATACTGGAAAACAAAATATGCATTAAAACGAACCAATTGTCGTCGGATTTTCATTGTGAAATCTGGTAAATAAAGGTACTTAATTTATTTTTTACTTTTATTTTTGTTTTATATTTTATAAATATTTTATAAAACAAAAACTGAAGAATTCTCAGTTGGTAGATGGGAGTGTAGTCCAAGTAGTATTGTATTTATTCAAATATAAGGAGAGCTTTTTTTTTTTCCAAAATCCGTAGTCTCAAAGTCATACCCCGCCTTATATTCGAAGCTCAGTATAGCAATATTACGATTTTTTTCTTTCTCTTGGGTCCTTCAACTGCCCCCTCGACTTATAATCGTGACCGCCTTATATTCAAATAAATACGGTAAGCTGCATTGTGACCAGAGGCGAACAAGACGTGGTCTGCTGCCTTCCTCCGGAGTGCAGGTACTCCCAGGAGTGCGAGGATTTCGGCGATCGCTTCATGCACCTCACCAACTACAGCATCAACAAGAAGAGCGCCACCTACGCCAGCAACACGAGCAAAGACGACTGCGAAGGTCACAAGTGGTGAGACCCCTTGTGTGACTCAGCGATGGCATTGGCACTACGACAAAGTCACTAAATTAAGTTTACCATATTTGCCGGAGCATAAGTCGTGTTTTTTTTTACATTTCTTTTTGTATTTTTTATTGATGTTTTTTTTTACAATGGTACACTATATGTTTTTTAGTTTTTAACTGCAAATTTTCTGCAAATTTCTCGTTCAGTCTGTTGGTAAGGATATAGAACCTGGCTCCCGTTTGTGCATAACATACAGTAATCCCTCGTTATAACGAAGTCAGCGGGACGGCAAAAAAAATTTCATATAAGTGGGAATTCGATAAAAGTCATATTGAATCAAACAAGCCTTGGTTAGGAACAACAAGCCGCTGCTTTACTGAGTGAAAAAATAATTAAGTGGAGTTTGCCGATAATTCCATCCGGGCATCAGTTCTCCTCTAACCGCTCCAGGTGTTGCAACGATATTGTCACTGCCGCTGCACTCCGCCTTGTTTCGAAGCAGCCGTAGGATGTTTCACATCTCCGCAGTCATCGGCAATTCCCAAACTGCCTCTCCGACATCGCTTCGTGTTTACCCTGGTTGCACGCAAAGTCTGCGATCGCAGCGTCCGTTGCAGGACAAACAGCGGGAACGTCTGCATCGACAAGCGTGAACGAATCAAAGTCATCTTCAGTGGCTTTGCCAACGTATTTTCACCCACTCCTGTGGAGATGGTTGCAGCTCTGGGAATCGTGAGCAGGCTCGGCAAGGTGTTGGCGAGAAGGATTTCGACGTGCGTGAAGCAGTTGGCAATTTTTCATCTTCGGGTCGCGGGCGCGCTTTCTCCTGCATGAGAAACTTCTCGAACCCGTCCAATATGCCTTGCTTGTTCTGCAAAATGGTGGCCAGTGTTGAAGAGGCGATGCCGTAATGTCGAATTCTTTGGCGATTTCGGACTTGGGCTGGCCATTTTTCTCAACCTCGTAGATCTAAGCGACTTTCGTTAAGCACTCCCAACCTTCCATACGACGCACGTGTGCATGTAGCACAGTGCAACCCACTTGTAGCGATAATGAGAAAACCCAAAATTTCAATCGTTGTAACCGATTATCGTTGTATCTGGACTAGAAACTGATTATTTCCAGTCTAGAAACTCTAGAAACTAATCGTTATAAGCGGTACATCGTTATATGTAGTATCGTTATAAGTGGATTGCACTGTATGCTGCAGGCGCGCGTGCAGCATACAGTGCGTACAGGCGCGCTCCTTTAACCTTATTCTGACGAGAGTCGGGCAACGTTGGTCGCGGTCTCCTTTAGTAGCGTCGCAACGTTACTGCTGCTCCCGCTGCTTCGTGCCGGCGTCAGCGCATCGGCATTGAAAGTGGCGCTCTGCCAGCTCTGCACGCTCTGTCCTCCGTCACCCATTTACTTAGTTTTCCCAGTTTGCCGTTTGCCTCGGTGGAGAAGGGGAAGGGAACGCAAGGGTCTCCGTGCGCCTCTGTGTAGGCTTGCATGCTTTCGGCTCCGCAGCCTTCATAATAAGCATGGTTGGCTGCCGATACACTTAGAATAATCCAGTTAAAAATGCGTGCATTTTGGTCGGGACCACGTTGAACTTCGATAAAAGCGATAATTCGAAAAAGTGATTTCATTATAACGAGGGATTAATGTACCTACCTTTTGTTTGTTAAAATGGCCGTTTAGGGAGGTGCGGTTTACAAACTGGAAAATACAGTATTTTCTCTAGTAATGAGTGATGTACGTGTCTTTATGGGATTCGTAACTTAGCGAAGTGAAAAGCTCATTGGGAGAACACTTTCTTTGGGAAAGAGATACACAAAGGAGTGAATTCGTTTTTGCCAAGCACTACAAAGGGCAAGGGTCTTGTGTGCAGGTCGATCAAGGCCCTGCAGAAGTACCTGGAGGACTTCGGGGTGGACTTTGAGCACCTCTGGCAGCAGATGGTGGACATCATTGTCAAAACACTCATCTGGTAAGCTTTTTTTTTTCTCGCACGACCGCTGTCAAATGAGCGAGCGCCGATTAAAATGGGTGGAATTGTTCCGTCGTAGGCTAGTGTACTCGTCTGATACCGGCCACCTGACTCCTCCGTTGTGCATAGATTGCCATTGTTTGGGGGGGTGAGATCAGTTTAATTAACTTTATTGGGGGGTTCTCAGAACATTTTGTATCGAGGAGCCCTTTTTTTCTTTTGAATAAAATTTATTAGAATAATATTATTAATGGCAGCTGGGGAACCTGTCCTGCTTGGCATTTATGTGATTAAGCAGTCCAGAAGCTTAGGGACCTTGTGAACAATAATGCACTGCTAGGGACTGTTTGTCTCGCAGTTGGGCACCAATGGATGGATCGAAAAATTTTGTGAGTTCTAGGAGCCCATGAGGGTACTCTGGGGAACTCCCTAGGTTCTTAGGAACCAGGTTAGAGAACCGAGGGGTTATGTGATTACCTTCTTTAATAGGCACTGTTATGGGACTGGCTGTGTTGTGACAATCAGTGGATGAACGTCATCCAGCTTGTGCCTGAAACCTGCCTCATGCTATTGAAATGGGTGTGTCTCGAGCATGTTTTGCAGTGTGAAATCGGCGTGAGAGTTTCCGGGTCCTATAAGTAGCTCACATCTGGAGGGGGGGACGGGACGGATGGACAAAACCATGTATATTTGGTTTTATTTTTTTAAATAATGGAGTAATGTTTGTATTTCACTTTACCTTCCTTAAATGTTCTGACGTACAATTACCCACAAACTTCTGAGAAAGCTGCATATGTGTGATTTATTAACGAGCTAAATGTAGCAGAATCATGAATTTTCTTTCCTCTATTTGCTTGCCTTTAGATGGAACGTAAATATACTTGGAGTTCTGCTTTTTTCGTAATCTCTCGTGCAAATAGGGGCCTGGTTTGGAACCCAAAAAGTATGTTTCATGCAGGTGTATTATTCAGAGTTCTCCAGTTTAGGACTCAGATTATATACTTCATGGTGTGCATCCCTGATCCTTATAGAATTGTTTTTTGTCACAATTGTTTTATTGCTATTTGTGACGCATTTAACATATTTTCCGCACTATAAGTCACACTCTTATACAAATTGCACTTCCCTATATTGAGCAGTCTTCGCAGAAAAGTTGGTATATAAGTCATGGTGCATGGTTCACGCCATATTCTTCTTCTTACGCGCATCGGTTTCGCGCAATTTCGTTAGTTCACACGTACCGTTTGACACACAACAACTTTGACGTTTCAACTCGCGAGAAATGCCCATAGCACGGCGCTGTATGGCGGGGGCAATCAAGTGTTTCACAGCAAAAGGCCGTAAAACATGCAAAATGAGAAGGTATTCAGCTTTGTTCGAGTATACACATGCTGAGCGAACTAAAGTTTAATATGTCAGAAACTCGTGAACCAAGCTTTGGACCACTAAACTTGGCCTGGGCCAAGTCACGGAGACGACGCAAGCATCAGTGCCCAGGCAGATAGATAAATTTGGACACACTTCTTTCGGTACAGCTAAAAGTTCAGCTAGCTGCAATCCTTTCTTTTACATGTTGCAACACGGCTGGAGTATGGCAGAGCTCATCAAACAGAAACTAAGAAATAAGAAAATTTTCTGCAATTTTATGTAAACCAGCCCACTTGCCTTTCTATGTTATTGGATTGAAGCAAAAGAATACGGAACCATGGCTGAATTAGGCAACATTGATCACATGCTGTAAAAGTTCTATTTTTACTGCCTTGCCTATTCACACTGAACCGCTTCGGGGAAATCGTCAAATTCCCTGCTTTCTTAGTCAGTTATGAAAAGTGTAGGAGAGTGCAACGACAGCAGTGCCTCCTGGAAGGAGCAGCACCACCTATGGCTACATAGTTACGATGCTTTACGAAAGATGACGCGCGGCACATAAAAAAATGGCTTCGCACCATGAAATGTTTTTGAAGTAACTCGCATGTAAGTCACATTGTTGTATAAGACGCATCAAGAAAAATGTTTGAAAAGAAATACGGCTTTTACACCGGAAAATATGGTACTAGAAATGATCTGGTTTCACCCAATGGTGTCCAGATCCAACTTCATAAATTCATCCAAATGACACCATCTTAGTTTGAACATCTAAAGCAGAGAAGGTGAGAACCAGTGCACCCTTGCGGCTAAAACGTTAAATGTAATAACGGTGATCGGACACTATATGGCTGGAGTTGCAAAGAATAGCACTTCCTATTGAGCTGAGGATTTTGCATAAATTGTCTTTACTAAGAGTGTCATATGAATATGGCTTCCATGTGTGCAGCTGCGAGGGACCCATCAACAGGCTAACGCAGAAGCACACCACGACGCGCTACAACTGCTACGAGCTGTTTGGCTTCGACATTTTGCTTGACGAAAGTCTGAAGCCGTGGCTCCTGGAAGTCAACGTGTCTCCGAGGTCAGTGGACCTCCGGCGGTACTTTGGAGATTTTTTCCGTTTACGGTGCAGGGCAGTCAAATGGGGTTAAACTAAAGTCCTCTGGTGTTGGCTAAAGTAGTGAGGCTTTCACACTTCTGCTCGCTCCTTTTGTAGTGACCAAAGATAACGCCCACAATTCAGAACTCCTTAGCATAAGCGTAAATTTATGGTACAAGTGAAATGGCCATTTCGAATTTTCGAATCCATACTGTAGCCACCAAGAGGTCCAGAATGGCGGGGGGCGTCTCGTTCCGACACCCGGCCTTCAGTTTGTTGCCTTCCGCCGTGCTTTGGCTCTGTGTGCACGTTCGTGGCTCGCAAGACGCTGAAGCATCATCAAAATTAGGAAGCTTGCTCCGGAGATGGGACGACCGAAGGACCGTCCTGCCGTTCTAATCTTGCCGGTGACCAGAAAAGCCTCTCGCATCAACGTATATTGAGGCTAGAAAGACACGAAACGTTTAAAAGTAGGAGAGGCATTTTCTTTCGTCGGGAGTACGACCTTGCGGGGGTTTTGTAGGCAGCCGCCGAGTTCCCGTCAACATGTTCTTTCTTGGCGTTCGGCTTCCGTGACATCTCCGTTTCCGACTGCGTTTGTTTCAGCCTGCGGTCTGCCACCCCTGTCGACTTCGGCGTGAAGGTGCGTGGAGTTTTCTTTTTTCACACTGGCCTCCTCGTTCTAGGTGCGGGGGACGTTCGCAGTCGGCCAACTGCGGCTTGGGGGGCCGACGTAGTAGGCTTCGCGCCTTCTGCTTCGAATGTTTTGCCCGTTGGTGTCGGCTAAACTTTGCTGTGTTCTGTTCCAGAGTGAGATTGTGAAGGATCTCCTGAACCTTGTGGGCTTCCAGCTGCCTCAGCTGATGAGGAGTAACTTCGACATGTCATTGCTGGCATTTTACGGGTGAATTTTCTGAGCTTTCATTTATTAGGTCTCCTAGACAACTATACTAAGTCTTTTTTTTTTCCCTCAGCCTATTATGTTTAGACTACCATTTTTTTATGTTCCTTTTTAATAAATTTATAACGGTTGCTACTTTATGTGTAACTTGCTTTTATGTTTTTTTTGTGTGTGTGTAAGTGTATTTATTGCATGTGTGAATTGAAGGAGTGGGGAACAAAGGGGGTTATCCTGCTAGAAAATATTGTGGGACAGGAGCAATTCCGATAGGCAATTGCATAAAGACACGCATAACTGGACACAGATTGTGTTTCTAAAGAGTGACTGAATTTAGCCATTTTTCTATGCAAATTGTTGAGTTTGCTAGCTCTATCTCAGTTTTCGTGCATGTTGAGAGACGCTTCATTTTGCTTTTGGCCAGTCATTTGTACATTGTTTTGTTGAAATGTGTTTTTTTTTTTTTTAAGCTCCAATATGGTATTGCATAACCTATCACCTTTTGTTTGTTTGGTTCTTTGTTGTTTTGGCCTGACATCCTGTTGGAAAGCTAAACCTTTCGTATATCTTCACATTTTCTGCAGACTGAACGACGACAACATCACAATGAACCCTGTCCTCCACTCCTACGCACTGTCTGCCGAAGAACGCCTCAAGCATAAGCATTATGAAACTTTGCTTGAGGTAAACAATTGTAATTGGGCCATGTTTCTGCTAGAAGGTGGCATGCCACTCTTTTGAGCATTAGTTGGGTCATCGCCTTTCAACTGTGCGCCACAAATAGTTTTGATTACGATGCTAGTTACAGCAGTCGTCGTCAACATCTTGGGTGGCAATGATATGCAAACGCATAAGTTCCGCGTGTCAAGGATGTATGTGTGTATGGCTGTGTAATATACCTTTAAAAGTTGACTAAAGGGTTTGAGAGCGAAGCTCTTAGGCGCCTGTTTCCAGCTTGAGCAGCGTCGCCGTCGGCGTTACTGCACGGTGCATTATGGGAAGTTTCATAATGCACCGTGGTGACGCGCGCATTGCATTATGGGACTTTTCCCATAATGCACTGTGCAGGAGAGGGAGGAGGATGGAGGAGGAGAAGGAGAAGGAGAAGAAGAAGAAGAAAGAGTGAGGAGGGAGGAGAGGAGGTTACGGACGAGGAGGAGGGGCATATCGTACCCTCCCTTCCTCGTCCTCAAAAGCTGCACTCTAATTCGGTATTGCAGGGAGTTGTAAACGTCTTTCATTTTCTTTTTAGTTTGTCCTTATGACTTTAGCATAACCTGCCAATCTGAAAATTAAAAAAAAAAAAATATTTGTGTAAGTATTTTGCTATTAATATAAAATGTGCAGTCAAGACCATTCATTTCCATTTCTCTTTTGTAACAAGAAAGGGAAGACCCCAAGTTCTTTCTCCCCTTTCTAGCTGTAAAGCAGGGAAAGAGCGAGTCGTTCTGTGCATTTTATATAGAACTGGGTTGTGCGCACTAATAGTTTGTGGATTTTCGACTCTGAAGTAGATGGACCATGTTAAATTCATAGAAAGACAAGGTCAGAAAATGCTTTAGCATAAGCATGTTACTGACATTTGGGAAAACTTAAAACAGTCGTTTCGTTTTCGCCGGTCCTACTTTTGAAATTGCAGATGCATATTCTAGACGTAGCAACCAACACTTTTCTTTGCAAATGTTGCATGCCCACTGCAAAGTGCCGCGCTTCGATCTCGTTGCCAGGATGACGGAATCCTGGAGCGGCTAACTCCCGACGATGTGCGGCAATTGGTGAGCAGCGAAGACGAGCTGTCGCGCAGGGGCTCCTTCGAGAGGGTCCTGCCTAGCGCCTGCGAGAGGGGCCGCTTGCTACTGCAGGGCCCCTTTAGGAGGTACTACAATGTCCTGCTCTCTGCCTGGGAGTCCAGGTTTGGACAGGAGCGGCGTGCAGGTGAGCGTCCCTACCTTGTCCTCGAAGGTAACAGTTGAGGCACGTCTTTAAGGGTGGATTCACCCGCTCGTCACTCAGTGGGCAAATTTCGCTACACAAACCTGAGTTTCAAGAATGTACCAGAGTATCGATTATTTTTGAGGTTCATTATGAAGTTGTTATCAAGGTCGTACGTCCCTTGAATTTTCCCCTGAGAGTGCTGGAGATTTTTAATAAAACTTAGAAAGATGACAAATTTTGTCTGTTTTGAGCACTTTTGAGGCAATTTTGAAATTAAAATTGCCAATATTTTTTGCATAGTGAACGCACTCCCACAACGGGCATCAATGTTTTTACTTCTTTCTTTTCCCCTCGCGTACTGAATGCACCTCAAATTTTCGGCTCGGCAAATCTCAAACTGCGTCCAACTCGGCTAGCCACCAAGCCCACCAAACCAATTCTCTTTTGCCACCAAATGGCCAGTCCTGAGTCAAGCCAAGCCAAGCATATCAGTGCACGCTTTCGTAATGGCTGCAAGTGTGTAGTTGCGGAAGTGATCAACAGTGAAACCAAGCGGCGTGAACACTTGACGAAGCTGGGGTCGAGGAATTGCCCAGCCCCAGACATTCTTCGCCTATAGGATGCATTGATGTCAACAAACACGCCGTCGTCTGTGGTCCGCTTTCAGACAGTGAAATTGTGAAAGTGGTTAGGCCTAAGAACGGTTGCCTTGCTCTTTGTGCTAAGTGAGCTTCGTAGGGCTCTTTTCCTTCGGCAAAAGGCACATCGAAAATGTCCCAAAAAATGTTTGCAACTTATAGAGCACGGTTAATGTGGCACACCCACGACCGGCTGTGACACACCTTCATGAGTGGAGACGTACTACAGTACCTTGCCGTTTCATAATGGCACCTAAAATGACATTTGCGCAAAGTGCATAAATGCAAAAATTTTACCTCGCGTAATGAACGCAGCCCCCAAACATCTGTCAATTTTTAGGGAAAAGAAGTGTGTTCAATATGCGAGTAAATACGGTATTTAGATGACAAAGCGACAAAATTAATGGTAGCACGTACTAGAGGTGTCTCCTATCCTAATTTTAAGGCCTTGACGGGATGCTTAAATGTCTCAATATTTGCGTATTTGTGTAAATATTCTTGACGGGGCCGTTTTCGCTAGATTTATTTTCAATGGGTTCAACGAGATGGCGACAAAAGCGCCAAATGCCCCAACCCGGAGCATTTGTTGCTGTTTTCACGAGCTTGCCCAAATGGCGACTCGTGGCACAAGTCTGTGCTTGACATTGCCGAGATTAGTTTCACCGTTGTTCGGGAGAATGGTCTGTGTGAGATTTCTGTCTGCTGCACCATAGGCGACCACTACGAGGGGGGGGCTTTGGGGGGGCTGAGCCCCCCCTGGCAATGCCAGGCTTCCTCCCCTCTCCCGAGCTCTTTGGAAAAGCAAGAACAATTGCCTCCAGAACCGCTGGGTGCACCTCATTAATCTCATCTTTGCGCCGTGCTGCCCGCACATATCGATAGCTGGCACCCAGTGGTTAAATAAAAATTGATCCGTTCACCAGCTCCGGTCACTAAATGACCAGAGCTGGTGAATGGATAAATTTTTTGAACTATTCGTGCAGTCCTGTTCGAAGACTACGAAGTTTATCAAATACGATAAAGGCTAGTGCTGGAAATTTCTTTGAAAGCCATTAAAAGTAGTTGCGAATGACGACCGTGGCACCTATAGCGGACCGGCAGCCTATGGAAGCAAACGACATAATACGTTTTGCAAGCCCTGTTTTTTTTAACTATACTAGCAGTATTTGCGCAGTGTATAATATATTCCGAAGCAAATGCCGGGGTGCAAGCCAGGGTGTCGAGTGCAGGTTTTACAATAGAAAACATTTTCATGTCTTTGCCTTTTGACTTTACTGTCACTGCAGACTGCATAGTCTGTGCAGTATGGAGATGCCCGTCTGTACATTTAGTAAAAAAAAAATGTGTTGCATTTTGTTTTTGGCACCTGGTGGAGGGACAAAAAACTAAATACGCATAGTTTATGTACTCGTTAAGAGATGGTACGAATTGAAATTGTCGGCACGTGCCCAATGCTTGACCGCAAAGGAGAAATGGGCCTGTCAAGGGAGCGCTGACATTTGTCCAGAATGGGAATATTTTTCTGTTGGGAGATACCCAACAAATGACCCCAAAGGGTTAAAGGTGCACCCTGAGGAGGTTTCTGAAATTGCTTAAATACGGCAATAACTCACTTTGCTGGCTCTAAGTATCCTAGAAATCCCTAAATCATGACGTTATGTGGCCGATTTCCTTATTGAAAAAGCAATGAAAGATCTCAACACACCAATTTCATCTCCGGCAATGGGTGGAGCATACTCCGAAAGCAGGACCACTGTCAGCCAATAGCGAGCGAAGGATCCTCTGCCTCCGACTGGTGGAACTGTGGAGTAATATCTCAAATGTGCACGGCTCGTTGCCCATACAGCCCGGACTATGATTCAACCCAGTGAGCATGCACTTGAGAGTTCACAACCAAACTGCACTCTGGCAGAAAAAAACAACAACATAATTTGTTGTTCTTGAGAGGATTATAGCAGTATTATGGTCCCTCTCCGAGATAAATTTAAAAAAATTTTACTGCCCTTATTTGCTTTGTCACCTTTAAAAAGCATACACATTTTGTAATAACGTTTGCAATCTGAATGAAATGTTGAGTTTTCATTGGTCACACGCCGTTCTGGCTGCCGGCACAATGCTCCTCCCATCGCCGGAAATAACAAATTGGCCGCGCATCATTATGATTTATAGATGGATGCTTAGAACCCGCAGAGTGAGTTATCGCCATATTTAGGCAATCTCAGAAACCTCCTCAGGGCACCTTTAAGCACCCGTAATTGGGGCCCAGAAATGGTTTTTCGTTGCTTTTTGGGGGGGGTCAGCGAGCTTCGCACGAATTTCCAGTTTGGGTTTGCACTATTCGCTGAGAAAACAATGGTAGACATACGGTGAAGGTTGTTTTTTTCATGAACCGGTGGAAATGACATACGCTGCAAAAACATGCTCATCTGGTTGCCAGAAGACACAAGTCATCAGTGGCATTTGTTACTGACAGTGGTGGTTAAAATTTTGGGAAACGAATTTGTTAGTCTATGAGGTATTTGTACGAAGTCCCTGTTTGGATGGATGTAGTTGGCATTGTTGTGAGGGTCACTTCTCTATTAAGGGCTTTCTGTTGGTTCTTATTTGACCTCAGATTGAGTCAAATTCATCCCTGTCAGTTCTGCATTGCCAGGATCAGCATTTATTGGCAATTACATTTTCTGCAATTTGGCCTCGCGCCGTGCAGTACCACTGCTAGCCTGATACACGACGGAATGCGGTACGACGCTCATGCAGATTGAAACCAGGGATCTGGGTGGAGATTGAGCCCAGGATTCCCAGGCTCTGCAGCACGAGCTTTCGCTCCACTCGCCGTGGTGTGTTAACACGCCTGGCTCCCGATCCCCCTGACATAGACGGACGTTGCATGCAAACTGCAACCTTAATTGCAAACAAATCGTGGATGCAGCATTACAAATGCACCACTAGCTTTTCTCTAAATTACGCAAGTTTCCTCCCTAGTATGCCAAAATTCATGCCGTTTTGTAGCTGTCTCTTGTCTTAGCAATGAGCGATTGGGTTTCATTTTGACAGCAATTTTGTATCTGTATTTTTCTGTACATGTTGAGAACTGGAAGGGCCTTGTCTCGCAGTGTGCTCACGAGCTGCAATGTGCTATTGCTTTGTTTATCTCCAATTGATCCGAGACCACATTTTCGTGTGTTCCTGGTTTCTCTTCAGGAATTGCTCGGCTGCAAAGTTTGTGCTCCGAGGGCGTCCACCTGATAGTTCCTCAAGATCCCGTGAGTAATGCTTTTTCTAGAGACACCCTTTCTCTTTTTTGCACTCTGTGTACTCCTCTTACAGAGCAACCCTCTAACGGTCAAGCAGAGCGTGCCAGCATGTGTGCCTAGTTCTCCGAGAGGCTTCGTTTGGGTGTATCATTTGCAAAAATGAAGCACTCCTCGAAGTCATGCGTGCACGTGCACATGCTAATGTTGGACGAAGCTTTTTTTCATCTGTGGGGCCTCAAATAAGTGATAGTATGGGTGGCTACTAGAGGGCAGAACTTGAGTAAAGCTAGTTTGGAAAATACATAGTACTCAGGGCAGACCTAGCAGGGCTGGCAGGTATGCTTGTGTACTTCCCTCTGACATGCGAATGACAAAGTGAGTGATCCTTCTTAATTATAGCAGCTACATAGAGACAAGCATGATGGCAGCCACATGAACATGGTCTGTACTCTGTTGTACGTTGAGAATGTTTGCTTAGAAATGTTGGTGGTTTGGCATTTGCGACATGCGTTTCTTTTTGTCATTGTTCCGGCAGATCTTTCCCGAGTGTCATTCGCCTGCGTCGGAAAAACGGTGAGCTTCAGTCGGGCCGTTGCAAACTTGTATAACGATTAGACTGCATGTTTTTGGGGGTACTAAAAAATTGGCAGTGACCTTTAACTTCAAAGCCCAGTAATGCTTGAAATGCAGTATTTAGGTGCAATTGTTTTAATTGTTTGGAAGACATTAGACAGTCGTTCTGGGAGTGAAGAACCTATATTTTTCTCAGTCTTGAGGAAACCTCATTGGGGTGTCACATGACCAGGGAGGGAATGGGAGGGCACTGAAGGAGAGTGCGGGAGGGAGGCAAGTGGGGAGAAAGTCAAGGCACTGCAGGACGGTGAGGAGGGGGAGAGGAAAGTAGCATGTCATCTGACAGGTTTTTCCGCTAAGTGGGGAGACTGCATTGCTGCGTCACGTGACCCAAGGAGGGAGGTGACTGTAGGAGAATGGGAGGGATGGGGAGGAAAGGGTGTCATGTGAGGGATATTTCCCTTCTAAATTTAACGAAGAAACTGAATTGCTGTATAGTTCACGTTACATCATGTCACATGACGTTGATTTTGCTTGCTAAATTTAGTAGAGAAACTGGGTTAGTGTTTAGGTAGTGCGACATTAGTTTTGGTTTTGTTTCGGTTTCAACTGTGTCCCGTGACGCGCATCTCAACTGGGGTGGCTAGGCCTATATATCGTGTAACACCAGACAACTTAGTTGAGCTCAGTGACAGTTGGGAAAATGCCAACGATCATTGACTTAATGACGGTTTAGAGTGCCAGTGTAACTAGGGTATCACGGGGGCGTCAAGACACGGGAAGCTAGGTGCAACTTTATGGTTGTCGAAAAAAAGGAATGATTTAAAGCAGGGCTCTCTAGGGCCTGAAAATATTTAAGGCGCCATAAATAAGGAAACACTAAACATAAGCATTTACATATTAAAAAAATTAAACTAGAGCAAAAATTCAAAAATAAATGTAAGGTGGATGAATACATGTACTTTACTTTTGAATGTAATACTATATGTTGCTAATTATGGCATTACAAAAAAAAAATTGTAACGCATAGGAACTTTGGCATATTCACACGGGGCAGAAGGCTAATGAGAATGTTTGATCTACTCATGGACAATATGCAAGAGTTATGGCACGGGACACTAGTCTGATATTCATGAGAACGCTAAGGAATTGTATCATAGTTAAACAGACATTAAGCAGAGAACTACCAACAGCGATAAAAAATGGGCCTTTTTGCCACGTTTTGGGCAGTAACACTAACAATGTTACAAGATATCATCAATGTTCAAGTATTGTAAAGGGTAGTCGTAAGCTCTTCATGCTTGGGTAAGTAGAACTGCAGTGCTGTGGTAATGACTGATATAGTCGAAATATAGACATGGTTAAGCAAAGTCGTAATGCAGTACAGCTGTAGTACATATTAGTATTTAAGCATTATTAGTGAAGATGCTGATTTGCTAAATATACTTTTCTCGGATGAAACTGATTCTACTATTGAGGTTCTACCAGGCTTCCGAAAAACCTATCCTGTTCCCCCAACTGGAATGTTGGCACGCTGACTTGCCGTCTTTTCTTGCAGGCAAAAGAAGAATGTCACTCGAAACATGAGCATCTTGGCACACAAAGAACGACAGCACCGCGGATGAAAGCGGCTATGATCTAGAATGCCATATTGCCTCGCTCTTTCACAATGCAGACACCAGTCCTGTTTGTCCATTTTTACTCGTTTTGCATCAAGTTTACTGTGGCAATCCTCCACAAGCAACTTGGTGCAGTATTGCCGTTCCTTGTGACGACAACGGCTGTGTTCTCTAGTTCCGATTTCTTCCTTATACCTGTACCATATGTGGTTCTTTACTCTGTGTATAAATTTTCTAACCTATGACAGTAATAAACAATTGAGGATCAATACCTGTTTTGTGTCGATGCATGGACGAGCATTGTGTGGGTTGTTATTCGACGCAACTCTTGTACAGCTGTAGGGAACTTACTAAAAAGAAGCTACCGGACCCACGCGCTTCAGATGTTGCCCTCATGGGTTTTCAAAGGGGGTGTAGTATGTCCGATGAGCTATGGTGGGATGGAAGGGCAGAGTTAGAAAACACTATCAAGAGACCTCTCTAAATAACATTAATGTTTTTACGCAAAGAGAGGTTACAATTTTTTCAGTGGCTGCACTTCTAGTGAAGGCCTTTATAGACGCTTTACACCAGCTGTGCATGGGCGCCGCCATAACTGACCTTCAGTTTTTGTTTTTTCTTATATTTTTCACTTCGCTCCATCATTACTACAGGAGGACGGGTTACTGGCATTTTAGATACGACGGTGTCTTTTTCCCAAGAATTTGCCTTTGTGGAGGCTCGCTAAAGCCCACTTCAGTGGTTTGATATCTCGGTAAGACAATAGAAGGTCGGCAATGGCGCCTGTATTCCGGCGCGTGTGTAAAGCGTCTATACCCTGAGGAAAAAAGAGGCACAGATCACTCCTACCTGGGGTAAATCCCGGTATCCTTCATTGAAGTCGTGCTGGCATACTTGCAGGGGCAAGGTTTTACGGTTGGTCAATACATATTAAGACCCCATAAGTAGGGTATTACAGAATGACTGTAAAAAGTATACCCTGAAATATGCAAAAGAGAAAAAAAAAAAAAAAAAAAACTTAACAAATTATTTTTTTTTTTATGACTTCAAGGTTATTTTTTAGCTTAGTGGTGGAAACTGCTCCCACCACTAGCCTTTCTTTTTTTTTAATCGCTGGTTAATTGTAGGAATGTCGTACGACCAAGTTGATCAAGTTTCTGCCTCAGCTTTATATTTAGGTCTTATGTAACGACATCACTGGCTAGAAGGTGAAAAATCTTTCACAAATGTATTTGATGATTTGTGCACTGTGATGCAATGCGAACGCGGTATGTACAATTTTAACAATTGATTTGCACAGGCTGAACTTTGTTGAACCCTAGTTCTTGGCACTTGCACTGATGCAGGACACGAGCATATTTCCAGGGCCAGATTATCCAGTCTTCAAGCGAACCAGCCCCCCACATGCGTTTGCTTCACTAACCATCTCCTTATAGGCATTAAACCTGGGGTTTCAACTTCATTTGAGTGTGGGGGCCAGGTAACCCACCCCCAAAGGACGAGGACCAATGGAGGGGAGGGGGGGAGGGTGTAATCAATATTTTGTTATTTTGAAAGAAAAAATAAACAAACGCAGCATTCGTGTTTTATGTTGCAAAACAGCTCACTGTCCCAGCGACACCCCAGAGATCTTTTAGACAAGGAAGCTTGTGCTTTCTGCTTTTTCTAAGCGCATCGTTTTTCCTTGTAGTTTTTATTTGTACATACGACTACTTTGGGCCCACAGCTGAGGTTATAGAAATATTTAAAACACCACCATACCACAGTACTTTCAGTTTTTAAAGCACGTTATTCTTGTCCTGTCGCACAATTCACGAGGCTCAACAGGCATAGAAAAAATATATCCTCATGCGGCAGTTTTTGCTTTTTTGACAATTTTTTATAGCAGCGTTTTAAGAAAATACTTCCATTCTAAAGGGATTTTCTGACAGCTAGAAGCCCGAGCTCATGGCTTTATCTTTGGCCGTCGCTTTGCAGTGCAAGAGCTCGCGCAGCCGAGGTGCATCCTTGAGCAGAGCTTGCTCCTGTGGTGGTATTGCTGTTCCGGTTTATTTACATGAGAGAAGGTCGAGAAGCACATATTTGAACAAAGCAATTCAATACCAAAAAAAGAAGTGCAAAATGCGTGGACATAGCAGAGCTTCTTTTCAAGCGGAAATGAATCGACAATATATCTTTGGCGTATGTGGCGCTCGACTCGAAGGAACGGTGAGGAACGGGGTCTCGCAGCCGCGGGATACTTGTGACCGCGTGTTTGAGACTGCACGGGCCGGAATTTTTAGGCCCGGCCCGACCCGGTCCCGGCCCGACCCGGTCCCGGCCCAAGCCCGACAATATATATATATATAATATAACTGAGAAGAAAAAACTCTTGGTGAAAACAGCAACAACGGACGATTTATTCTTCGACGTTTCGGCCGGAGTGCGGCCTTCAGGAAGACGAAGGCCGGACTCCGGCCGAAACGTCGAAGAATAAATCGTCCGTTGTTGCTGTTTTCACTAAGGGTTTTTTCTTCCTCCCGCCACCATACCCGTTATATATATATATATATATATATATATATATATATGAACCTGAGCCCGGTTTGTGCTTGACAGATTAAAAACGTGAGCCCGAAAAAGTTTGCAGGCTATAACAAATGCTATAACCTTGAAACTGTCTAAGCAGAAAGCGCGCACTCTCGCACTATGCTGGTGGAGCCCATACGTTTTCTTTTATCCACTTAATAAAAAAACTTTTTTTTTTTTTTTGACGGCGTTGTAGTGATTTTGCACTTCGCTTGCTTGTTTTCATTGAAGCTAAGACCGACGAGCCCACTTTTTGTTATCAACAATTTTGAATTTGTGGCACACGACTGCGCGGCACGGCCCGGAAAATGTTTTGTTCGAGCCCGACCCGGGCCCGAGAAAATGCGTGCTACCCGGCCCGGGAGCCGAACTCGGGCTTTCGGGCTAGCCCGGGCCCGTGCAGTGCTCTTTTTGAGACCCCTGCATTACACTGTTAGGGCGTGAATTAATAGTTAATTTAATATTACGTGACCTTGAGCGGCAGATTAAGCTAAATGATACGCTCCCCTCTTCACGCTCATTCTGCACCGTGAAGCTGTGTTTACATGCAAAATGCCACCAAAGTGCATAATACAATGACGATTTTTATTTTTTTTTTTTTGGAGGTGAAAATATTAAATGTTTTATTGCAACCTCCAGAACCCGCATCCTCACCCAACGTAGACGCGTGGTCGTAGCCGAGTTCTCGTGCGCAGCCAGGCGTGCTGCTTGACTGTCTCTACGTGCCGAACCTTGGTTTTGCCACCACCCGAGCGGGGATCTTCTTTCCCGTGGCGGGTCGTTGTACTTTTGACCTGAGGGCAGGGGGATTTTTCCTGACGGGGATCTGCCGGGACGTCCAGAGCCCAGGGGACGTGTCTGTCGACGGCTGTCCGGTCGTGTCGTAAACCGTACGGCGTGCAAGTTAGTCTGCTCCTCGTGCGTTTGTTTACCCTCCTCATGCTCTCTCGCGCGGTTTTGTTTTCCTCTAATCTCAACCAATGACGGCGTGCACTTGACTGCCAGGCCCTTGGTTTCTTAAAGTGACCGCAAGCGTTCTTACCGTAAGTTATCCAATCTTGGTTCGTTTTTCTTCTTTTTTTTTTATTTTCTTTCATATTTTCGCTCACGTTTTGCGATAAGAGGAAGCTGCCGGCGGGGCGAGAATGTTTAGGGATTCTCGTTGGGGGTGTCGGAACCGACGTATTTTCTCAGTCAACTGACCAATACTGTTTTGGTGGTCGAATTTTGCACCGCGGGATGAGATTTTTACGGACTCCCCGCAAAGGGCAGTGGCCCCTCATCGATTTGTCGAGAGAGCGCCGGCGCCTGTACCCGGTGGGATTCCGGTTGCACCATGACTGGAAGGGACCGGCCTCGGCGCAGTGTCAGTGTTTAACCCATGGTGAGACAGACGAATCTGAGTTTACAACGGGCTCGTACGGAACTCGTTGGAAGTTCTGTTCTCGCTTAGTGCGCCTCGATCGGCCTACGATTTTTGAAGTGTTCTTCAAGAAACGTCTCAAAATGTTCGCATTGATATTTTTGTTCCTGCGAAAGGCCGGGAGCATAACTTAACAAGCTATGCAGTAAGAAGTGGCAAAATACGGAAAGCAAAACATTTATCATGCATAACTCGACCCTCGTCACAGTAATCCGGTCGTAAACGTTCCACAAAACGCATTCTTTTATGTCAGTTTCTAAGTTTTGAAAACGAATTAAGATTCAAGGGAGAAGAGAGAATGACTGCTACTTGTGTCTTCCTGCTAACTGCGTCGTGCATTGTACATGTTCGGTACTGTACATGTGGCGCGACACTGCGTTTCGTTCCCGTTGGGACCTGATCAAATAGGTTTCGACACGATCTTTTTTTTGTTGTTGTTGTTCTCTTACGCTCTCACTTACGAATGCGTAAAACTAAGCTACATGTTTGCGCGACAAAAGACAATTGGTTGAGCCTGAGTTTTGGTAGGAACAATTGTAGAGAACATCGACGGTTTATTGCAGTAGAGGCGCGCTTTGCTCCTTGAGAAACTGCACGAAGGCATCACTTGTAGCGTCCCCTGGTCACAGGCCGACCTGCGGCGAGGACCGTGCGCGTTTCTTCGACGGCAAAACTCGGGAAGAGAGTGGTCTTGGTGTGGTGGTGACTCGGCAGCACCAGCGAAGGCTGCACTTCGGACCTCCGCCTCAGAGCCGTCTGCCTCGCGATGCTCCGACGTACGACGACGGGGCCGCAGGGCTTCAGTGTTGTCTGCTGCGAGCTGTCCTTGGCTTGCCGTCCGTGGTAGCTAAGTATCTGTGCGACAGAGGAACACTTTCAACGAGTCCCCACCCTCTTCAACTTTAGCAGACCGAACGCCTGAGAGGAGGTCGTCTCCCCTCCAGTGTTCGCTCTGCTGAGGTGGAAAGAAGTGGGAGTTGCTTCCCCTGAGTTCTTAACCTGTCAGGGACTAGAAGTGAGCTCTAATGTCGTTGTACCTAGAACGTTATGCATTTCCATTGTCTGGTTCAATAATACCGCTTTCATAAAAGCCGAAAGGAAAACTACCTGCCAAAGGAAATCACGAGATAGAGGCTTTACGGCCATGCATATATATACACACAACATATACACTGTACGTTTATATATATTGGTTGTGGCCTTTGTCACCTAGCTCTTATAATGTATGGAATGCAGTCGTCCATATTTGTTTAGCAGACAGTAAACGCTACCTGACGTTC